TGGTCTGTGTAGCAAGTACTACTGTTTCCTGTGTGGTGCACAACTACTCATTTCAATCAGTTAAGAAGTATATAGTTTGTGCGAATAACTCATACTATTTATCAATAATAAGTAATAATCAATAACATATACACAAAAAAGAAAGAATAGATATGAAAATAAAATACTACTGGATTGTACTAAGTCACTTGACGAAACTTTAACGGAAGTTTCTGTTCTCTCTGTACTCTCCGCTGACTCACTGAATGTGAAATGAACATCCGGATTGTAGTAGGACTTGAAAAAATGGTCTCCAGATTTTGTTTTTTATTTCTTTGCGTTCCCAGTTTAACATAGGTCTTCAAGCTAGAGCCTTGAAGTTTCTGTAGCAGTGGTGATTACTTTTACAAGATGGGGTTGCTAGCCTAATACGCAAACTTCCCTCTTTAACAGTCTTACCTCTAGCTAGCTTAGCATGGTAGAAGGTTGTGTTGGCTGGAGACCGAACCCCGGAGCATCTGCGTAGTTGGCAAGCACTCTACCGCTGTGCCACCGACATAGAATACTGACTTTGAAATTTTGAAGAAGATCTGTAGTTCACGATGATGAATTTGATTTGATTGTGTCCACTAAGGAGCTGGTTGATTAAGTTGCAAAGCTTTCTTTGTTGCCCTTCTGGATAACATTTTCACCTCAAGTTTTAGTATGAGTTGAACTTATTTGAATAACCCATGAATGAATGTTGTAACTATATCGCCTGAGATTATCATGATTCATTATTGATTTACATCTCTGTTTACCATTTTTATTGACTTGAAGTTTGACTTTGAAGTTTCTCATATGATTTATTTTTCATTAGTTGGTAAATTTGGTCTATTGTAATGTGTGCTTGTTAATCACCACAGATTCATTTGAGTTCAACCAGGCTTCTAGAAATTTCCTGACTGAATTTTTGATGTTTCCTCTGTTTAAGAATCAGTCAACCTCTGCTTATACAATTTGTCAACTCGTGTATCTTACTGCTCCCGTTCAGTCATTTTGAGAAGAGTATTAAAGGTTATCAGTAGGGCCATCACTTAGTCATTTTGTCACTACATCTCAGTTGATAGACGTCTAAACTCATGCGAGAAATGATCTAAGTCTACATATTGTCTGACCCTCAACACCCAGCCCCTCTATTCTCAACTATCCCAGCCATGTATCTCGTCTCATCTGGTAGAACCAGAAATCAGTACAAAAGATGATATGCTTGTACTACCAAGTATAGTAAGTCAACGATACCATATTTGGCCAGGGCGTGCGATAGAAACAACATTGAGCACGAGACCTATGAATTACTATGTTGTTAGCTGAATAATCGGCTCTTATATTATCTCCTATTTGTCATCTACGGTGACACTATCTCAATTATTTAATAATTCCCATTGTAGCATTAAGAACACAATATTCAGCGAAGAGACTCTTTTCAACAATGAATTTATTATCAAGCTCTACAGTCGTATATATATGGTTTATAATAAACTATATCCCTTGGGGTAAATGAATCATAGGTGTGAATACATGAAATAATAATAATAGTAGTATGAAATGCAATTAAAATGTTTTCTATAGTTTGGTTTTTAAGGATTAGTTATGTTTTACGAGTTGATCACGGATTGATATCAGTTAGAGAACCATTGAAAACCAGAGAGTACTGGACAGCTGCTGTTTCATCCTAGTTTGGGAATCATCGGCAGTACGCACCCACTGGGATTCGAACCCAGGACCTTGCCCAGAGCTTGCCTTGTAACCGGAAGTTCCTGGGTTCGAATCCCAGTGGGTGCGTACTGCCGATGATTCCCAAACTAGGATGAAACAGCAGCTGTCCAGTACTCCCTGGTTTTCAATTAAAATATTTGTGATTACAATCATAGTTATACGTCAAGTAGCCATACAATTAATGTCATACATAGAATAATGCATAAGGTGTATAGATGTTGGAAAGGGGTGTATAGTTATAGGGTTAGTAGGAGAATATAAAATGTTACATTTTATTGTGTGAAATTTGATAAGATAGCAGTCAATAGTGTAAAAAAATAATTATAATTTTGGATTTAGAATGACAAGTCGGACAAACGGAAATAAGTCAAGATAAGGACAGTAATAACAATTAAAGTAATAATCGTAGCTTTAAAGAAAAGTACATAGAATAACTAAATAAACAAAATAAATAAATGTCTATCCCTCTACGGCTAAGGCAGAAGTAGGGATTTTACATCCTTCTTTCATACACTAAGGTCTGGCTGGCTTGAATTCATCAGTGGTCAAGGCCTCCATCGTCTCTAGAAGTCTATATTGAAGAAAACGCGGGAAGTTGGCATGGATTCGATAGATGTTCTTAAAATCATGGTTGGGGTTGGCAGAGCGACAGGAGTCGATCAGGTGTTCTAGAATAGAGCTTCGTATGTACTTCCTTTCTCACTTGTAAAACCATGCTGCTGGAATACGTTCTTATATCCATATGGGAAGCGTCCTCTTGCTACGGCCGATGTACCTTGCTCCACAAGAGCACGTGGACTGATAGACGCACATGGAGGCAGCCAGACGCGGGAGCTTATCGTTCACAGAGATGGAGAACGTCATTTGTTACTTTGCTGCAAACAACATCTTACTGATTGCTTTAGAGAGACGATTTTCGAGCATATCTGAAGCTTGATCACCTTTGAATTCCAAGTTCATGAATAAGGTTTTCTTTGGAATTGAGTAGTTGACCAGTTTAGACCGTGTATCTTTCATGTTACTGTCAATAAATCGGTTCGGGTAACCGTTTTCTGGGAGTGTGGCTTTCAAGAAGTCAAGTTCTGAGTCAATGCAATTAGAACTACAAATTTTTCTTATCCTAAAGCAGACCGAATGAATTAGGTTCCTTTTCCTGGAGGTAGGCGCCCAACTATAAAAATTAGTTAGTTTTCAATTGACTGACAGTCTTGGCTACTAAAATTATTATTATTATTATTTACAATTATTTTGTATGTATGACTTCACTGTCATTACAAATACCAAATAAGAACTGTCATTAACAATCCTGTAATAACATGCTTATAATCGTTTTATTATTATTCAGTAAAGTTACATGGAATAATGTACCAAATGCTGAGAATTCCGCACTGTAACATTGGGACTGTTTTGAAATAAAGCAAATTATTATTATTATTACATTTCTACATTATCCCAGTTAAATTGTTGTCCCGAATTATCTATATGCATTGGTATGAAAAAATACATATCGTGCCTTTGCACAGCTAATTTACTTTTTTGCATTCTGATTCGAAGGGCGTGCCTACTTAGACCAATGTAGTATTTGTTGCAGTTCATGCAATTTACTTTGTAAATAATGTTTATCTTATCTTCAGGTAGGTAGTCAGTTACCTGAATTTCTAGTCGGAAGTCGAGACCAGTAGGGTACAAAAAGTCGTGTACGAAGACACATACATATTAAATAGCGAATCGATAGAGCTTGAAATTAAAGAGGCGGGTCCCAATGGCTTAATGGTCTAAGAGCTCTCCTTGTAGACGGAAGATCCTGGGTTTGAAACCTAGTACTTCTGGAGAGTCCTGAACTAGGACAAAACGACTATCCAGTATTCCCAACTTGTTTTCCAACAGTTCTCTAGCCAATCTCAGCTCATGATAAAATCCTGTAACCAATCTTTCTTCCCGTTGGATCTTTTGGTCTGCACAATGTCGAATGAAGTGATTATGCTGGCTACCTTGTGTGCTATATTTATTTCGAATGGTTTTAATATTCTAGCCGTTATTTCACATATTTTCTTCAAACATGGATGAGTAAATTTTCTTGTGGTCTTTTATCATGGCTTCTTATCGGTGTTACAACTTGAGTTCAAGCACTTTTTGATGAAATTGTGTGGGTCTTGTCTTGAAGGACAACCAAGGCTTTTCAGTCAAATCAATCAGCTCAGAGAAAACAAGTAAATCAATAAGAGTGCTGACTTGACTGTCTAAGAACTGACTCATTAAACGATTGGAATCATTTTTAGACCCTGGTTTTCATTCTATCCCTGATCATCTCCCATTACAGAATTCTGTTGTGGTAAGAGCTGTCTGCAATACAAAAATGTAGACAACAAATGACGTCACCGTTTACGTCCCTAATTTTGGTCGTAAGAAAAAACAAGAACAAAGCCTAACCTTGAGGAACTCAACGACCAATCACGGAAGACTTAGTGTGGACGGATACGATTCGCAGATATATCACCGGACTGTCTAGGAAACGGTCACAAAGGGATGATTGAATAACCTTCAACAGGAAAACAACCAATCAGAAGATGTGGCTACTCTGCCAGCGACAATAACGTTAATAATAATGTACATAAAAATTTATAAATATTTGTTGATTTTCACAATAAACGTTCTGTTGCCTGACTCTTGTCTTCTGTAGTTATACTGTGCCTTGTGATCACTAATTTTAACAATTTCCTTTCGATTAGTTACAGGATTTCATCATGAGCTGACATTAGTCAGAGAACCATTGGAAAGCCTGGGAGTAATGGGGAGCTGTTTCGTCCTAATGTAGGACTCTCCAACAGTATGCCCCCACCGGGAGTCGAACCTAAGACCCTCTGGTCACAAGACGAACTCGTATACCATTAATCCACTGGGACCCGGCCCAATGGCCCATGTATTCTAACTTCTGCCAATTCACGACATAGCGCGACCCCTAGCCAATGTTTTCGGGGAGTATTTGTCCTCACAGCCGACCTGCGGCACCCTACTGGTCACGACTTAGTAGTAAAAGATAAATTCAATTTTCAATGATTTCTTTAGACTCATTAATTATAAAATAACTTTCAGTTAGCCAATCAGAATAACCTAACCTTATTCATACTTCATTCCGTTTACTTTTATAGACATATATGCATCATGACACATGTAAGTCACGTACTTGGTCGATTTCCATTCGTTACTTCAATCACAGCATCCAAGGCCATTGTTATATTTTAGCCAATAGAGTGGATAGATTATGACCTTGAGAAATCCATTTAACTTGTTTTTCTATCTATCTGAAAGCTTGTCATCTCTCTCATTTTAATTTTATTATTATTCTCTGATATGGATCCTAATTATTCTGACTTTTCAGCATGGAATTTAAATAATCCCCAACAACCGAATCCCGGTTATCCTGGTTATCCAGGTCAACCGACATCAGGATATCCAAACGCACAATTTGGCGGATACCCCGATACCTCGTCTTTAGGGGTATTTGCTAATCCAAACACTGTAAACTATCCTAATCCCACACCAGGAGGATATATGTCACCGATGACAAGTGGATTTGTTAACCCCCCATCACCATCAATAGGCGAATATTTTAATGGTCCACCTTGTAGTGCTCCTGGAGGTTTTCCTGACCAACTGCCAATCAACACTCCAAGTGCACCATTCGCAGGACAGATAAACTTCACAAATCCTCCACCGTATGCTGGCGCTGTATCAACAAGAGATTCGTATATACCAGGTACAGCTCCTTATCAAATGGACTATTCCAGTGTAATGCAAACTCCATATGCAGTTGGAAATCCTGGTTTGCAGACTTTACAAACCGATTGTTTACCATCTCCTTCAAATCGAAGTTCCTACATTGATGATAATCCAGCTAACCAAAGACAAAATTCAATGTATTCAATGTTTGATGGTTTACCAGCGCCTATTTCATGTCAGTCTACGGATATGTCATCATCATCATCATCACGAGTTTTTGGATTCTCAGAATCAGCACCTCATGAAGATATAGTACGTTTTGGAGTATTCGCTATTACCAGTTATTGAAAACTATAGATTAAGTCATATTGTACCAGTTGGCAGTTAATTTGTCTACCAGTTTCATTTTATAATGCAAACAGCTTACCGATGAAAATTCTCTGTCATAGAGAACTTTAATCAAATATATATGTTTAGGTCATCTCAAGTTTAAAACAAGCAACAAATGTGGTTAATAAAGCAGGATTTAATGAATTCACCAAATTTAATTAGAACTCTTCATCTGCTGAATACTCTACATACACGAATATATGAATACTTTTGTAACTACATTGGGAGATATAATACTGATAAGTAAACAAACTACATTGAATTAGTCATGCAGAAAGACAGGTGCGAATGTTTTTCAGATCATGTTCAAATAGATAAGCGGAGAGGGACTAGGAGGGATTATTATGTATCATTATTATTTCCTTTAATTCCTAGAGGAACAAAGGGCTTCAACTGCACGTCTTCATTGCGTTCAGTTCTCTGCTAAAGTTTTCACCCGGCTCCAAGTCTGCCCACACGCTTTCATTTCCTCTTCACATGACCTTCTTCAAGTCACCCACACACTGATGACCAACTCGCCACTTTCCTTTTGGGTTCTACTCGAGCGATGGCTTTTCTAGTGATGTCACTTGATGGTTTCCTCAGTGTATGGCCAATCTATCTCCATTTCTTTCCGCTTATTTGTTTCACAATCGGTTCCTGGTCGGTTCGCTTCCAGAGGTTCCTATTGTTGGTCCTTTCTGGCAATCTGATCTTGAGTATTGATCAAAGACAACTGTTAATGAAGGTCTGTAGTTTGTTTGAGGTGCTCCTTATGACGCGCCAAGTCTCTGATCCGTGTAGTAAATGGCACTGACTTCACATTGGAGTTGAGTATCCGGATCTTATTTTTGATGTTGAGTGCTGTTGACCTCCACACAGACTTAAGAGTAATGAAAGATTGTCTTGCTTTCCCGATCCTCGCTGCTTTAATATCCTCGTCAGTTCTGCCTGTACAGGGGATGATGCTTCTCAGGTAGGTAGGTAAAACAGATTGTTTCTTTCAGGTTCCTTCCATTTATGCTGGCTGATTGCTGTCTGTTGTTGTTGTTGCTGTTGGTGTTGCCCAGGAATCTTCATCAATTCACCATCATCATCATCATCATCATCATCATCATCATCATGAGGGATTAGAGTTAAGATAAAATGTATTACGGCTCAGTTACATCACTTAAATAAACAACTTGTCAACAGTGAAGGAACTTAAATATATCAAGACTTACTGACTGAGTAATGAAATAAATAATAATAATAATAATGCTGAAACGAGCTGAGATAGCGGTAACAATAAATCACTGTTTTAAATGAATCAGTAATAAGAAAAATAAAAGAGGTAAAATAAAATACTAATAATAATAGTAGCACTGTGATAGTAAGTAATTCCATATTAGTTTGTTTATTAAATGTATCACACAGTGAGTGAAACAGTATTGCTATCTACTGGATGACACAATTTATTGCGGTTCATAATCATACCAATCAATTATAATCACACGACTTCAAAACTTCAGTCTTATAGTTTTCTTTGTTCTCTCCTGTCTATCGTCGTCGGGGTAGTAGAATTTTGCAGATATCTGGGTGTACAGGTGTTGATTAGGTAAACAAAGCCTCTGATATCAGTCTATCCCTCCACCCTGTGACATTAGATTTTAAAACTGTCATCTTATCTCATCCCATTCTATTGTATGGTTGTGCGTAATTGCATGTAGTGTGGTTCTATAGGTGAACTATTGTCCAGATTTCTTATCCTATTTGAGTCAATTAATCTAGATTTTGCTGTAGGTTTTTATGCTCCGCTAGTCTGACTGACTGAGGCCTGTTCTACTACTTTAACCTATGTATTTGACCTGACAATCATTGTGAGCAGGGTATTAGATAAACTAAATTCCTTTGTTGAGTCGGCTCCACTTGCAGGATCCTTTAGCCAACAAAGCTTGTTTCTAATTGAGTTTGTGGGTGGTGTGAATGCCAGTCACTTCTATTTCTGCCTTGTTAAAAATTCTGAGTAAGGTGTTTTCTGAGGTTCCTTCTTTGCATGGAATTACTACAGATGATTTCGATTCCTTATTGTTGGTGTTGTCATGATCTTGCGCATGTTTGACATGCATGTACATGCATGTCTTCATTAACTTTACTATTATTATTATTATTATCACTATCACTACTATCATTATTTATTTTATTTATACACTTCCCTACATACTTTCTGACTAATTTATCAGGGTAATTAGTGAGTTTCAAAGCTTCTCTTAAATGCCTCAGGACAGGGAGTAATCTCCTTTTCTACTGATTCGGGACTGCATATTCTGAGGATTCTAATCACAAGAGATATTATCAGGTCCCGATTGTGATGGATGGGTATCCGTTTGTAAAAGTTTGTTGGCAGGCTGTTCCACGTAGATTTCGATATACTGATCTGTTCAAAGTCGAATAAGCCTTTTTTGTTAGTCCAAAGTCCAGAAATAGCTGTCACCCAGCCATCAAATTTACGTTTGAAGCCGAAACTGGAGGACAATCTCATACCTGGATGTCCGACTTACAAAGAATACTGATTTGAATTTGAACAGATCAATGTATCGAAATCTACATGGAACAGCCAGCCGACAAAATTTTAAATTTTACATCTGTGGAATATTCAGTCCCGAATCAGTAGAAAAGGAGATCACCCTTTTGAGGAAGACACTACTTGAGAATGGCTATCCACCACGCTACGCTTCATAGATAAACATATAAAGCTGAAGATCAACAAAGAACAACCCATCTCTGTGCCGAAGAAGATGCTGTACATGAAGTTGGCGTTCAAAGGCGACCTTCTGGCCAACATTCTAAAGAGAAGAATATCTAACGCCCTGAAAAGAACATTCTCTGCTGCTACATTACGATTGGTATTCTCAAGCCGCCCATTGTTCTTCAACAACTTCAAAGATAAACTATTGCATCTGACCACTTCTATGTCTATATACCAATATAATTGCCCATGTGGAGCGAGATATATAGGTGAGTCGACGCGTGTTTTATCCAAAAGAGTCAAAGGACATTATCTCGTTTGGCTATAACAAAGGTAACATTGGATCAATAAAGAGTGCTATAATTGAACATATAGTCAACATTGGTCACTCATTATGCTAAGAGAACTCATTCAAAGTCATCCACAAAGTCAAAAGAAGCCTCCCATTGAAAACGTTAAGCTTCCGTATACTTTACATTGCCTAGGCCTTAGCGATCCGGGTAGTAAACTTGGATTTATGCACACAGAAGGAACTTCTCCACCCCCTCCTTCTACCTTGGATATAATTCAAAGTCCTACGACTTTGTTAATAATGTTTTGTTCTCTTTTCTTGTTTTTTTTAAAATTTTTGCATGACATCTGTCTTAATAACATCTTCTTAACCAACCTTTTATTTGCTCTGTCTACCTATTACGTAATTTATTTCTTGGACACGTATCTCTGTTAATACCCTATTTCATATGACTCAACCCTTTTCAATACTTACCAGTCTTCACCCTCCCCCCCCTTATTACAGTTTAGAAACATTTTGATGACGTAAACAGGAACCGTAACTGATTTTCATTTTCCCCAATTTTTTCGTTGTTTTTGAAAATTACTACCAATTTAATGAAGTCCTACTGTATAAAAAACACTTTTTGAATACCCTGATTGGAAGGCGGTGAACGTTTTATGCATTATAACGGAAGGCTCTCTGACTTTAGTTGTTCAGTTTCAAAACTCTGATTGTCCCTTTTAGACAACGCTTTCAGTCGTTATTTAAAAATCTGAAGGGACATTATAAATGACCAACAGTTCACTGAACAGTTCTAAGTAGTCCAAGCTTGGATAAGGTTGGATTTACACTCGGCATTTGAACAGATAGTTATAATTTAATTGAATACTCTATAAGTTTATAAAAGGGTAACCATATTTTAGTCAGGCGTTATATTAATAGACAGAAGACCACTAGTTCAACGAAAAGTCTCTTTTCGGCGGGCGAATTCATTTTCATAGCTGTACAATCGCAAATATATATATGGTTGTTTTGTATGTGTGTGTACGTTGAATTTGTCAAACGAAAATACAATTAGTAAGTTCAGATGAATTGGATGTTGATATAAGAGGGTAGTGTAACATAAGTGATGAGTTGTCAGAAACGATTGTTAAAGAAGAGTTACGTAATAACAACATGAATAGTTTGATGAAACAGTTGTGTGCTCAGGGTGTACACGGAAACAAAATAACATACAGAATTACGCAAGAGTTTTAAGTAGGTAGAAAAATAAGCATACAAGCAAAAGTCAAGTCAAACCAACAGAGTTGTTACCATGATAGTAGACGTGATTGAATAATTCTGTACGCATAGTTCTGGCTCTTCCGACTGAATGGCTAGGACTTCTGCAATGCAAAGAACGCAGAAACATGTTGTCTTTGACAGGTTTTTCTTCACTTTGAAGGAGGCGTTTGTTGAGACGGAATGATCAGTGGTGACGAGATGTTCGATTATTGCACTCCTTATACGGCCACTACTTCCTTTCTGCGACCACGCTGAATAGTGTTCTTTGACTCTTTTTGACAGGATGCGAGTCGAACGACCAACGTACCTGGCTCCACAGCAACAGGTGAAATGATATATACACATAAAAGTGTTCAGGTTTGGGATCTTGCCCTTTTGGCTCCTGCAGACCAGCTGGCGACTGGAGATTACTACTCTCAATGCTGCCGCAAAGAAAGTTCTTCTTAAAGAAGTGGCCTTATATTACTTAAGTATGATGACTGTGAAAATAATACGTGTTATGTAAGCAGTACAACTATTGACAGACTTTGGTACAAATCATTCTTTTTTCTCTCTTCTAGATGGAACCAACACTAAGACCAGCAGCCAACTTCTGTGTTGAACGAGATTGTGAACGTTTAAAGAAAGCAATGGCTGGTATAGGTGCAAATGAAAAAGAGATTGCTGAAGTAATGGGTCATAGATCTGTAGAACAACGTGTAGCTATTGTCCAGAAATATAAATCAATGTATGGAAAAGATTTATATCAAAAATTTAAATCAGAATTACATGGACGCTTTGAAGATTGTATCGTCGCCCTGTGCTATACACCAGTCGAGTTCGATGCACTGGAACTACGTAGAGCAATGAAAGGTGCTGGGACAGATGAAGATGCCTTGATTGAAATACTTTGTTCACGGACGAATGAACAAATCAGAAGAATCAAAGAAGTATATCCAAAATGTAAGTATTATTTAAGAGAAATTAAAGATAAAGGTTTCAATATTGAATCACTCACTGAGAAATGCAGGTACATCCAGATGACGAGTCCCAAATAGGACGAAATGCGCATCCTGGATTCCACTGCTAGCCACCATCCACCAAAGGTTTCAATAGTTTAAAAATTTCTATATTTCGATAAAGAGAGAAAGACCAGATCTGCAGTACAATGGTTATAAATAATAACATTTCATACTTCAATGTTTGAAAGGTAATATAGAAAACACTATAAGATGAACACATCTGGGATAGAAGTATTACAATTTTTTTTTAGTTTAAGTTACCATCAATTTATATACTGTCAACCTATGAATAAAAAGGGCCGGCTTGAGAGAAGACAGAAGACAGAAATATCTAATAAACAGTATTAGCTAGTATGTCAACGCTACACCTCATTAAGGTTAAAGTTCATCAAATTGAAAACTTGCTTAGTGAGCTGAGCTCACTAGTGCGCATGACTAATCAATGTAATGAAAGTGATATGGCTACTAAGGGAGTCAGAGATTGACTACACTATCTTCCTGTGTGGATAAGTCTGGTTTGCATCGTTTGATTGCAATCGCTTCGGCGAATCGTAGTAAATTTGCTGTCCTTTTTGTGTCTAATATTTTGAAAGAATTAGAAATCTCTACGAGATACCCAGTATCATCAGGATGCCTGGTTATTACACTCTGAGAATATTTGCTATCTTTCAGATACAGGTTTCTTGGAATATGTTCAGGAAACCGGACAGAAGCCCTTCTTTCCGTTATTATCATCTATATAAGTATTGTAATTTCAGGTAGTCTGCAGATGATGAGAACCGGTGAAATAGAATGATATCATTATTTATTATTTTATTCCTTTACCTAGCGAGTGAAACATAAGCCTTCAAGTGAAAGCTTTGAAGTTTCTGTATAACAGTGGGTTACTCGTCTCGTAGCCAACTTTCCTGCTTCAGCAGCCTTACTACCGGCTTTGCGAGGCTTAGGAGTACATTGACAAGAGGTCGAACCCCTGGACCAAGTGAGGAGTAGTTAGTGAGCTGAACCCCCAACACCTTCACATAATGATACACCTATTGACAGGATATTTATACACTGGTTTCCAAGAGAACCAAACACATCTATCCTTGCCTTCTTGATTTATTATTTATTTATTTAAACGCAATATCGTACCAAGAAGATGAATGAAACAATGAAAATTAGACAACATAGATTAAAAGTAAATATGTAGGGATGGAGAACGGATAAAAAACTTCCTCTGGAGGGAAAACAGTCATACTTAACATGTTCAAACAGAATTTTTCAACTATCATCAAGAAGGGAAGAAAGAAGGAAATTGCAACACGTTCTCCATTGATTATGATTCTTGGCCATATCCGATAACGTTTTGAGCCATCGATCGAGCTATCTCTGGGACTCCAACCACGGAGTCGTGACGCGCCAACCGATGACACTAGCCTAACACAAATATCCTTTATCCCACGACACCACATCATGGACTGACCACATCTCCGCCTTTTTCATCCCGTCCCAGGACCACCGAACAGAGACCGGTAAGGAAGCTTCCGGGATGACAATCGTAGCACATACTCAGGCTACCGGAGCCAGTAATACCAGATGATGACACTCAACGAATGGTGATCTCCACTGTATTCCAACGAACGCCACCGAACCTCAGAATTACTCACACTATAGTACCACCGAACGCAAGCAGTCCTTCGGAGACAGCGATGACAAATACGGTGAGATGCCGCACATCTTCAGTTAGGACAAACTAGGTTTCACAGGAGTAGAGTAGGACAGCCCGCACGGAAGCATTGTATACCCAACCTTTGACAGCCAGGCTAACGTCATGACAGCAGCAGAGGTGGCTCAAGTTAACATATACCATCCTACCTTCCATGATACCATTGGAAATCTCATCCGTCACCCCTCCGCCAGCACTCACAGAACTACCCAGATAAACAAACTTATCAACAACTTCAAGCGGTTCACCTGCAACAGTGAATGTAGGTACCCGATACAAGTAGGCAGTATCATTGTGTCGCATCATCCGTCGAGAACTGTTTCCCTCAATGGATCATCAATATCGATCACTATTCTATAGCCACTTAATTTAATGATTATGTTTGTCAATTAAAACAATGAACTTAGCAAAGGTCAAATATAAATCTCTCATATTATTTAGTGAATTACCTTATATACTGTAAGTATTCAAGGTCTTTCATAAGCAAAGAGCTACTAATCTTTACTTTACTCTGTCATCAGTGTCGTATGACACTATGGATTATGTGCATAGAATAACCTACCATGAATAAATAGTACATCTTAATAGTTAAAAAAACTATTCAAAGTTTAATTAGAAAGTCATTCAATTTCAGTCAGTAAAAACTGTACTAATTAGAGACAGAGAGAGAGAAGAATAGTACAGTACAATCATACTATATTTATGCAATAGCATAGATTTCTCTTAATAATAATAATAATAATCTCTGTAATTAGTAGTATTCTCTGAGCTGGTTGGTTCGGTTGCAGAGCTTTCGTCGTCCTTCTGGACAACACCTTCAGAGCAATATTTAGCATAAAGTGAATTGATTTAAGTGTTGGTTTGTAGGGATTTGACTGATTGGTTACCGTATTTCATCATGAGTTAACTTTAGTTAGAGAACCATTAGAAAACCAGTTGAGAGTACTGGACAGCTGTTTCGTCCTAGTTTGGGACTCTTCAGCAATAAGCACACGCTGCCAAAGTTCGAACCCAGGACCTTCTGGTTAAAAGGCTAGAGAGCTCGTAGACCATTAAGCCACAGGGACCCAATCCAATGGCCCATGAATTCTAATTCATGATCGTTATAGTTCAACTTTGCCCCTTAGTTTTCAGTGATTTGTTAATTGATGTCACTTTGTGATAGAATCTACAATTACATAGTTTATTTTTGATTGGACAATAGTCAGTAACTAGTGTAATGCTTCTAGTCCTATCTTTGCTGCAGACTGATATCTATCAGTCAAGTTTGCAATGTGGTCACCATGCCAGTAGGTGGCTCGCCATCACGGTGCACTTTGAATCCCTGGTATTAGATTGTTGGAGGTAGTCGGCAGGAAGACTTGTTGGGACCTAGGTTTCATGCTAGTTGGCACTCCCCAGTCAATAAGACGTATCTGAGGTCTTTTGGAGGTACATATATCCCTTCTGAGATTCGAACCCACATCATCCAATGCTGCAGTCAGAGACATTACCACTGAGCTATTCGGGTTGGAATCTCAGAGGGACATGAGTTCCTTCAGGGTCGCAGATACACCTTGCCGACAGCTGAGTGCCAAGCAGCACGAAACCTGTGTGGTGCAAGGCTTCATGGCAAATGCCTTTAACCAGCTAATAATAACAAGGGAGTTTATTTAATAAAAATGAATGGAAACCGAGTTGTACGCTACACTAAACTTCCAATTCACCCTATCTAACGGAAAAATAGTAGTAACTACTAATATCCCAACTCTGTTTCAACTCTCCGGGTGAAAAATTCCATCTGTCTGAAATTTCGTCTGAGGAAAACCAATCCATGAACGGACCAAACTGCAATTCTACGCCTTCGACAGAGTTGATCGCGAAATAATTTAGAAACTGCTCCGACACTACAGAAACATTTATCAACCTCGGTAAACAGCAATGATGGTGATACCACAAGTTAGGTGATCCACAACAGAAAACTCAGAGAAGTCTTTGAAGGGAAGACAGGAAAAAGACAAAGCTGCTTACTATCACTCAAGATGATGTTCTTGATTGTGGTGGACTGGATCATACAACAGCCCACAGGAAGCTAGAAGACAAGAAAACATTAGGCCAACAGGAAGAATCTAGCAACTTTTGACTTTGAGGACGATTTATGTCTCATGTTACACAAACTCGGAAATCTTTAAGAGAAAACTAGCAAGCTGGTAGAAGAGAAAGGCAGCGAAGACAGGACTTCAAGTCTAGATTAAGTAGACAAAGGTGAAAAGGATACCCACTAACCAAGCAGCAATCGCTCTCAATGGCAGAAATTTGAAGGAAGTCACCTGTTTAACTTATATCCATCTCTCTTTAACTTTGCCATCAACGATATTTTGGGGTCAGCTCTGAAGGACGTATGTGGTGGTGTAGATCTGCTTCCTACAGAAAGCCTTTTCAACCTCAAGTATGCAAGGGATATCATCTTACTGTGCGATAGTTTGCAGGCTGCCTAATTATCACCTAATCACTTCAGGATCAGTGTCTGTATGTATGCTATGTGATTTACGCCGTCCAGGTGCAAAGTACTGTGACAAGATTGGCAGGAGCCTGTACTTGCACTCACTCTGGCAGGTGAACTGCTTGAATTTGTCGATAATTCTGTGTATCTGGGCAGTTGTATGAGTGTTGGCAGAAAGGAAACGGGTGAGATTTACAACCGTATCATGAAAGCTAGGATGGCATGCGTCAACTTGAGCCACCTCTGGCACCGTCATGACGTTAGCCTGGTTGTCAAAGGCCGGACTCACGATGCTTCGATGCATGCGGCCTAGATCTCCGCCTGTGAAATCTGACCTCTCCTAGCTGAGGACGTTTGGAGACTCTGCGTACTGAACACTCGCTGCCTCCGTAGAATTGCTTGCATTCGGTGGTATCATAGCGAGAGTAATCCTGAGTTTTGGCGGCGTTTGTTTGGACACAGTGGACATTGTCAGTAACTGAATGTCTTCATCTGGAAACCCTAGCTCCTTTGGCTTGGGAATGTGCTACAAATGTCATCCCACGGGCTTCCGAAGTGGTTACTGTTTGCTAGATGGGATGGAAAAACCGGAGGTGGTCAACCTATGACGTGGTGTCGTGGGATGAAGGATACTTTGGTAGGTTAGCATCAGTTAGTGCATCACGACTCCGTAGTTGGTGTCTGATAGATAGCTTGAGTCTGTGTTTCAAAAAGTCGTCGGATATGGCCAAGAATCGCAATCAGTGCGTCG